TGTTTAGTTGCACTGCATTAGAGAGTGATCTAAACTGCTGTAAAATTGTGTAAAATTGTTCTAGGTCTCATTCACTCTAGAATTACTTTTTGAAAAGTCAACTTTAAAGTAATTCATAAAAAAAAAAAAAAAAAAACTTTAATCCAAGTTTTCATTGTTTTCAAAAGTGACCTTCACTTGTTACCAAAAGTTGTAGTAATTAAAAAAAAAATTTATCCTCTAAAATCATTTTTAATACAAATCTACTGTAAAGTAATTAAGACATGTATCTCCAATAAAAAAATAGTAAGTTTGAATCTTCAGCTTCACGCATTATTGTACTAATAAGAAAAATCTGTGTAAATTAAGAAAAACTCATGATCCTAAATAATAGAGATAATCAAAACGAGCATAACTTAACAATAATTAACATATATCTCGGCCCGTGGCCGTGTTTAAAAAATATAAATAAATAATAGAGAGAGAAATTAGAGATTAGAAAAAGAAACGAAAACTCAACATGGGATGTCAAAGTCCAACCATAATTGAGAGATGATAGAAATGAAGCTATCCTCTGCACATTATTACACTCTCCCTTTAATCCTCTTTCTCTCCCTCTTCCATCAAAATTCCCTTTGCCAACAGTCATATCTCGGAGCTGAAGACTGCTCCACCACCAATTCTTCTTCCATATCCAGAGGCTACGTCTGCAACGCCCATTACAACTCCTGCCAATCCTTTCTCACCTTCAGATCCCGGCCGCCCAACTATGGCACCGCCGCCGAAATAGCCCGCCTCCTCGACTCCCGACCGACCGACATAATATCTCTAAACAAACTCCCCTCGTCCGACCACCAAATATCCAACGACAGCCTCGTCATCGTACCGGTTTTGTGTTCGTGTTCCGGCAGCATCTACCAACACAACACGCGCTACACCATCAAGCGCGGAGATGACTACACAGTGGTGGCGCGGGATATCTATCAGGGGCTGACCACTTGTCAGGCACTGATCGGCCAGAATTATTACGACGAGTGGAGCCTTGCGATCGGGAGCGAGCTGTTGGTGCCAGTGAGATGCGCCTGCCCGACCGCAGTGCAGGAGGCCGGCGGGGTGACATCGCTGCTGGTTTATATGGTGGAGAGTGGGGATAGTTTCGCATCCATTGGAGGGGAGTTTGGAGTCGATGAAAGAAGCATTTTGGAAGCCAATAAGCTTAACGACTCCAGTCGGATTTACCCTTCTAAACCCATTTTGGTTCCTTTGAGGAATGAGACTTGTGGAGTGAATTCTTTGTTTTACTTCTGCTCCAACGATGGCCATGTTTTGGATGGAGGGGATGATCCAAGATCAAAGCTTCCACAATCCTTGGTAACTGCAATAGGTCTCTTTCTTTTTGCCTTCTAAAAATTATTGCAAAGTAACTGCGTTTTTTTTTATCTAGATTAATTCTTAAGATAAATGATCGTCATGGATTTGAAAACTCACTTCCTCGCATATTTTACCCTAATTTTTTTGGACCCCAAGATAGTTAATAGCTGCTAGTTTTTACAACCATTGGATGTTTAGAGAAACTACATACAAAACATTTTTCAAATATGGGTTACTAAGAGAATATATAGGTTTTGAATCACCATCTAACGTTATTAGAGATCAACAATAAATTGTGGCTGACTCGTTCAATAATTTTTCTAGGATAATTTGAAAGAATAATTAAATAATTATTCTAAATATGTGAGCCTCTTTGTTAGTTGCATTCCTCTATGAATGACTCTTTTTATTTATACTTATAGGTTATAAAATACATTTTTGATCTTAATACTTGAGTTAACATTTCATTTGATTCCTAAGTTTAAAAACTTACATCTTACTCTCCAATTTTTGGAAAAATATATAGTTCTAAATGATTTGTAAAGACAAATTATTATTGATGTCGTTGTCAAAAAAAAATGATGTGGATATATTAGGTCACGCACAAAATTGATAGTTTAGAGACGTACTAAAACTCTTTATAAAAGACACTTTTATAGATCTATCATTAAAGACAACCATAGAAAGTTTAAAGACCTATAAAATACTTTTAATTTAAGAACTTATTAGATATAATTAAGAAAATTGAGGTGCTAAACTTGGATTTTGCCTTTTTCTTTGAATAGTATGTTTGAAGAGGTATAGATTAGGGAAATTAATAATGTTTATAGAATACATTTATGTCTCAATCACATCCTCATGATATGTTCCCAATTTTCAACTCTCCCATTTGTCTTTTTTTTTTCTTTTTTCTTTGGCTTACATTTCATGTTCTAATACTCTCTAAGATTAATAATGCATTAGCTGCTCACTTAAGTCTATTGTTGATTAATATATTCTACTTTTATTTTATAATTAATGTGTTGGAAGTGGAATAGCATTCCTGATTATGCTTATCGTGGTTTACAAAGTTTATCACTTGTTAAAGAAAAGAAGGCGCACACTTAACAAGGAGAAGTTCTTCAAGCAAAATGGTGGCACCTTATTAGAAAAAAAACTCCAAGGAATGGAGAAAAAGGTAAAATTATACACCAAGGGAGAGCTAAAAAGAGCCACTGATAACTACAATCATAGTTGATTTCTTGGTCGAGGAGGATACGGTACAGTTTATAAAGGAATTCTTCAAGATGGCACAATTGTTGCGATAAAAAGATCGAATCAAATTGATAGGAGATGGATTGAGCAGTTCATCAATGAAGTTATTACTCTTTCTCAAATCAATCACCGAAATATTGTTAAGCTTTTAGGTTGTTGTTTAGAGACGGAGTTTCCTTTACTAGTATGCGAATTTGTTCCAAACAGGACGCTTTCGGACCATATCCACGAGCAAGGTTGTGAAGATTCTTCTTCTCTTTCATGGGAGGTTCGTCTCAAAATTGCCTCTGAAGTTGCTGGAGCTATAGCTTACCTACATTCTGCAGCTTCTATACCTATTTTCCATCGAGATATCAAGTCTTCAAATATACTCTTGGATCATAGCTACAGTGCGAAAGTATCCGATTTCGGGACATCAAGATTCGTACCCTACGATCAATCTCATTTAACTACAAAAGTTCAAGGAACATTTGGCTACATTGATCCTGAGTATTTTCGATCAAGCCAATTAACTGAAAAGAGTGATGTTTACAGTTTTGGAGTTCTAATGGTAGAGCTTTTAACGGGAAAACAACCGTTCTCTTTTGCAAAAGATAAGGGCAAGAATCTACTAGAGTACTTCATTTCGTTGGAGACAAATAATCGACTTGATGAAATTCTAGATGTTTTAGTAGAAAGAGAGGCAAAGATAGAGGATGTTTATTGTGTTGCAAAGCTAGCCATTAGATGTTTGAGATTGAATGGGAAGAAAAGGCCTACCATGAAACAAGTATTTTTGGAATTAGAAGGAGTGAGGAAGCCCCAAGATTTAAATCAATCAAGTGAGAGTTTGACTATTCACAGTGCTAGTTGTAGCGATGAAGAGTTTATGGGTGACAGTATTGTATCTCTTGAAATTGAGACATTGTAAAATTTTACAACATGCAGCTTCCAACTGTTATGAAAAGTTGTAGATCTAAATATGTTCATATTAAAAACAAGGATTCAATTTTTTTTTTTTTTAGTGAATTTGTTACTATCATTATAGTTTCAATTTTTAATTTGTTTTTTCCACTTAAAATGATACCTGATTATTGAACAATGGAGCGGGTTGCCCGCTATTGAACAAAATAATAATATCAAGACTAAATATGTCTAATAACGATTAGATTTTGTAGACATGTATATTCTATTTCATATATCAAGTAGCATCTAATTGACGTGATGGTACATTATAAAATTATACTTTAATTAACAATTTTTTACAAATTTGTTAAAAAATAAGATACATAAGTGAAAATTTTTAATACATTAGTTGTGAAAATGAAAATTACCTTAAAAATTAGGACAAGATTGCGTATATTTGCCATAATATATATCAAACCATATATTATATCATAAATGTCAATACGAACATAACTTAGTGGACAAGACATCTAATATCATTATAAAAATAAAAATAAAAAAGTTGATATTCAAAAGGTTGATAGTTCGATGCCATATTTCAATCAAAAATAAAATATTATATATTATATCTTTTCTTTTATAAAAGATATAGGGTTGGAGATTTGGACTCATGACCTATTGGTCAAAGATAGGTATCTTAACCATTTGAGCTATGCTCAGTTTGACTAAACATTATATCTTTTAACTTTTCTTAAACAAACTAATATGATAATATCATTGATTATATAGCATGGTGGTTAATATTATTTGTATCAAATATTATTAAGTGTGAATTTTTGAATTCTGGATCTGCCATCTAATGAAATACACCCTCAAGTCCCCGTCCAATTCAACGTCTTCAGCGACTGTAAGGTAACTAAATCCAGATTTGTTATAATAACTACTATTCTACATTGCTACACTAAATATTATTCTACCCCCAATTTGCTACACTATTTTTCACTCCTCCCCAAATTGCTAAAGTATTTTGTCTTTAATCTCTCTTCTAAAATACATTAACTTTTTAATAAAAATATTAGTTAAATAAAAAAATTAATTCATTATAATTTTAATAATAAATAAATAAATGGATTTAATTAAAATTGCAAGTAATAAATTATTAATTCATATATCGAGAATTTTTTTTAATTGTAGACTTTTGAGTGAAAGCTAAAATTAAAAAAACAAAGGAATGAGCCAAATCGAGTTAATTCAATCCGTTAGAACCATAAAATGAACTTTGACAAAAACCAATGTACATTTCAAAATGATAAATTTTTGATGCAATAATTTATGTACACACTTAGTTCATACTTTGAAAAAAAATTTTTAAAAAGATAATAACAAAACTAATCCAATATTTACAACCACAGATGGCACTGACGAATCATCAGAGAGTGTATGGTACAATTTACAAAGGAATCCTTCAAGATGGCACTAAAAATGATCGAATCAAATTGATAGGAGACGGATTGAGCAATTGATCAATGAAGTTATTACTCTCTCGAATCAATCACCAAAATTTTGCTAAGCTTTAAGGTGGGTGTTTAGAGACGGAGTTTCCTTTACTAGTATGCAAATTTGTTCCAAACAACAAGCAAAATGGATGGTTGAAGACTCTACAAATTGAATCCTTGACAACCCCTCCACTGTGTTAGCTATGCACATGGTATCATTGCCCAGTGAAGCCACAAACTGGTTAGAATCTTTAAAAATATATATATGCTATGCCCAAAATGATAACAAAAAAACTAAAAAGATGATGAAGGAAGACTCTGAAACAGTCTTCGGATCTACTCAAGGCTGCCGGGCAAACGGGATGCATTTTTTGTACTGGTAGTACTAGACAAGCTCAAAGAGAATAATATATTTCTTATTTCTACCTTTCTTTCCCACGACGATTAAGAACAAGCAAATCAAAATTTTCACTTCGAATTCTAGACCTCGACATTTGGCTGCTCATGGAAAAGCAATCGTCATGGGAAAGACCTGAGTAATTGCTGCCATGGAAGTAATAAACTAACTGCTTCGATTACTGTTCATACTCTGGCTTCAGAACCCAGAATGAACCACGGGGGCTTTTCTCTAATATTGCTATCTCTTTCAGTAGATTCTTGAACAAGGGCAAATCATTTGAGGGTATCCTGTCCTTAAAATGCTGTACAATTGTGGCTGAATCAGTGGCTCCGCCTCTTTGCTTAATAAAAGTACATATCTGACGAATCAATACTTCGGGTTGTGATCCAGATAAGTTCTTAGATGACCGAGAAGACCCGACACCAGCACCGCTTACATTGTTTCGAGCACTTGAAGTAGATGGTTGAACTTGATGTTCAAGCCCAGCACTGATTGCTCTTTCTTGGTTTCCTCGGATTTTAGCCAGCAGCTCTGCTGAAGATAAGGCCTTTCCAGAAGATGCTCCAGCTGCATACCCATTTAAATGACTAGCTCCATTTCTAGATACTTCATCTGAGGATTTAAAATTACTGGTTACCTGTGGTTTCGTAGTTGAACCAAACTTACGACGCATGGATGATGGTGCACCAGCAGTTCCAGCTTTCCCGGTCCATGTTGGAATGGAGATACTCTCATTACTTCGCAGCATTCTAGACTGGCGCAATGCCTCGGCTGCTCTACGTGCAACTTGAGAAGCTTGCTCCTCGAGCCGTATCTTCTCCCCCTCATCGGCATTCACGATGACATCATGATTGACAGCGCTCTGCATGTGAAGAAGGATATAAAGCAAACCACAGAGAAAATAAACAAAAATCTGAACACGTCGAACCTTGGTCAAAGTCTCTTTCAAAAGGATCGTTTATAGTTCTATTTGGTCAATAACGAATAAATAATACACAGTTGCATAAGGGGAAAAGAAAAAGCCTGCCATTCCAGCAATACAGACTAACAAGACATACGAAAATGCATCTTAGAGATTAAAAAAATGAGACTCACATGTAGGCCGTGCGCATCAAAAAGGCTCTTCAAGATATTCGTGTCTTCGTCTGTTCCACCACCCTGACCAGTCTCTACAGAACCATTCCTCCCAGAAGTTTGAACCTCTGATTTGGATGGTCTGTCATCAGCAGAATCCGCATATGATACTGAGCTGCTACCAGATTTTTGTTCATCCTTCTCATTTTTCTGAACACCAACAACATTTACACTATCAGTCAACTGACTAAAAATGTTTGACGTTTCTGTTGATCTGCCCTCCCCATCCTCATACAGTGTAAAGAGATCCTTCATGTCTCTAGCTTTAAAGAACCTTTTCTGCTGAGGGTTCTTTAATATCTTATTCGTGAGAAAATGTTTATATATCTGTCGATGGTACACCTTCTCCTCTATAGTTCCACGAGTGATCAATCTGTACACAGTTACATCCCGCTGTTGACCAATACGCCAAGCACGTTCCCTGGCCTGAATATATGAATGTAAAATTTATAACCCCATAGCAGAGAATAGGAAGAAAAATCTTCCACAATATCGTAATAAGTAAGAAAATGTAAAAGATGCCAACTTCTAAACTGAAAGTAACTTCAGGGTCAATACAGTAATTCAACCAGTTTTACTGGTTTAAACAAAGTAATGAACCTCAATCGAACTTCTCTGAAGATATCTTAAACAACAACTTCGATAAATTAAAACAGAAACGTGGCACATCACCTGCATGTCGGTTGACGGATTCCAATCAGGGTCAAAGATTATCACCCTATCTGCTCCAGTTAAGTTTGTTCCCAGACCACCAACCTTGGTTGTTAAAATAAAAATAAACACCTCATTGGAATTATTAAATTCATCAATCAAAGCCATTCTGTGTTTGACAGGAGTACCACCATCCATCCTCCTATAAGTATAACCACCTCCAATCAGAAATTTCTCTAAAATGTCAAGCATCTGTTGAGTTTGCGCAAAAAGAAGAACACGGTGATCTTGCTCTTTCCATACCTTCAGCACTTGCTCAACCACTTTCATTTTTCCACTGCGTTCAGGATTCCCATAGTCAGGATTTTGGAAAGAGTGATCCCTCTCAAGCAGATCTGGGTGGTTGCAAATTTTCCGCATTACATCAATTCCAGAAAGAGAATTTCTATTCCCATCCAAAATCTGTTCCACTTCAGAGCTCGCAAGGAACGCTCTGTAAACAGAACGTTGCTCAGAAGTAAGGCTGCAGAAGAGAACGTGTTCGGTCTTCTTTGGTAAATGAGCATTCACATCAGCTTTCATCCTCCTAAGCAGATAAGGCATGATTAAGTCACGAAGAACAACAGCACACCTGCATAATAAGAACTTCAAAGGTTGGTGATGTTCAGCTATTGAATAAGAAAAAGGAGAGAGGGAGAGAAAGAACACGAGATCAAAGAACTATCTTCATCCACTATTTTCAGTAAAACATCTTTTACATGTCAATATGTCATCAACATCGTAATAAACCCACATCATAAACCTCCTAATAGATAGACTTTATAAATTCTAAATATTCGCAAGAAAAGAATAAAATAAAGGGGAGAAAATAAAAATAAAAAACCAAACATTTATAATATTTTCACAATATTTACCTATATGCTGTTGATACTTGCAACGGGGAAGCATTAGCATAGCCACCAACAGATATAGGAACTGCGAACTCTGCCTCAAACACGGGCAATACCCCCAACTTCCCAGGGAAAACAAAATCAAACAAGGACCACAACTCAGTCAATTTGTTCTGAATTGGAGAACCAGTCAATATTATGCGGTGTACTGTTTGTAGCTGCTTGCAAACCAAAGTTACTTCAGCATTTGGATTCCGAATACGATGTCCTTCGTCAAGGACTGCATAACCCCATTCAATGTCAAGCAACTTCTCCCCTACTAGTCGTAGTTGTTCGTAAGTGGTAATGAGCATACCGGATTCTCTCAAAACACGGTTGATCAAGGAATCCCATTTTTTTGTGCCTTTGGATTGTGAGTTTCTCCTATAATCACTGCCCTCATGATCTTCACTTTCATCACTTCCATAAGATTTTTCATGCATTTTTCTATAAGTAGAATCATGAGCAGAATCATGTAGTATTTCTACCAAAAAGCCTGGGTACCATTTCCGTGCCTCCCTCTTCCACTGTCTAACTAGTGTAACAGGGCAGACAATGATGCTTGGTTTATAAATATTACTAAAATGTAATGCACCTAAAAAAGCCAACACCTGGACTGTCTTCCCAAGGCCCATCTCATCTCCAATAATACCACCTGCCCTTTGGCAGTGCAATTCCCATAACCACTGCACCCCAACTTTTTGGTAATCAAAGAGCTGATCAAATATGCTGTGAGGAATTTTCAGNATTATCACCCTATCTGCTCCAGTTAAGTTTGTTCCCAGACCACCAACCTTGGTTGTTAAAATAAAAATAAACACCTCATTGGAATTATTAAATTCATCAATCAAAGCCATTCTGTGTTTGACAGGAGTACCACCATCCATCCTCCTATAAGTATAACCACCTCCTATCAGAAATTTCTCTAAAATGTCGAGTATCTGTTGTGTTTGCGCAAAAAGAAGAACACGATGATCTTGCTCCTTCCATACCTTCAGCACTTGCTCAACCACTTTCATTTTTCCACTGCGTTCAGGATTACCATAGTCAGGATTTTGGAAAGAGTGATCCCTCTCGAGCAGATCTGGGTGGTTGCAAATTTTACGCATTACATCAATTCCAGAAAGAGAATTTCTATTCCCATCCAAAATTTGTTCCACTTCAGAGCTCGCAAGGAACGCTCTATAAACAGAACGTTGCTCGGAAGTAAGGCTGCAGAAGAGAACATGTTCAGTCTTCTTTGGCAAATGAGCATTCACATCAGCTTTCATCCTCCTGAGCAGATAAGGCATGATTAAGTCACGAAGAACGACAGCACACCTGCATAATGAGAACTTCAAAGGTTGGTGATGTTCAGCTATTGAATAAGAAAAAGGAGAGAGGGAGAGAAAGAACACAAGATCAAAGAACTATCTTCATCCACTATTTTCAGTAAAACATCTTTTACATGTCATCAACATCGTAATAAACCCACCTCATAAGTCATAAACCACCTCATATATACACTTTATAAATTCTAAATATTCGTAAGAAAAGAAGAAGAAAATAAAGGGGAGAAAATAAAAATAAAAAACCAAACATTTATAACATTTTCACAATATGTACCTATATGCAGTTGATACTTGCAACGGGGAAGCATTAGCATAGCCACCAACAGATATAGGAACTGCAAACTCTGCCTCAAATACGGGCAATACCCCCAACTTCCCAGGGAAAACAAAATCAAACAAAGACCACAGCTCGGTCAATTTGTTCTGAATTGGAGAACCAGTCATTATTATGCGGTGTACTGTTTGTAGCTGCTTGCAAACTAAAGTTACTTCAGCATTTGGATTCCGAATACGATGTCCTTCGTCCARGATTGCATAACCCCATTCAATGTCAAGCAACTTCTCCCCTACCAGTCGTAGTTGTTCGTAAGTGGTAATAAGCATACCGGATTCTGAGCTCAAAACACGGTCGATCAAGGAATCCCATTTTTTTGTGCCTTTGGGTTGCAAGTTTCTCCTATAATCGGTGTCCTCAGAATCTTCACTTTCATCACTTCCATGAGAGTTTTCATGCATTTTCCTAAAAGTAGAATCATGAGCAGAATCATGTAGGATTTCCACCAGAAAGCCTGGGTACCATTTCCTTGCCTCCCTCTTCCACTGCCTAACTAGTGTAACAGGGCAGACAATGATGCTTGGTTTATAAATACTACTGAAATGTAATGCACCTAAAAAAGCCAAAACCTGGACTGTCTTCCCAAGGCCCATCTCATCTCCGATAATTCCACCTGCCCTTTGGCAGTGCAATTCCCATAACCACTGCACCCCAACTTTTTGGTAATCAAAGAGCTGATCAAATATGCTGTGAGGAATTTTCAGCCCACCTTCAAGCGTCACAAAAGAAGGTTCGGGAACTTCATCTTCTAAATCTCCTGAATCTTCTCTTTCAAAACTTGATGTAGACAAACCATCTGACATATTCTCTACAACGTGAATAACACATCAGGTAAAATAAAATGTTCTTCGTAACAGATCATAAGCTAAGGATATAATAGAATAGCATTCGACGATATCCTTGTTCGGCAAAACATTCCACAATTACCGACTAAAAACAGTAAAGTTTTCTCATACATAAATGCGCTATTACAATAAATTTTAATGTAAGTAAGACATATGTTGGTAGCACCATGAGTTCTTGCATGTAACCATTGAAAAAGGTACATGAAGTAAATTTTCTCATCTAGCAAAGTCCCATATATCTGTGAAATTTCTTCTTGAAGTTTGCGAGCGTCTGAATCTGTCACTAAATGGACTTGACAACTATTTTATTTACAGATGACTACTATCATATAACTGCTAGAGAATACCACATTGATATACATAATTTAGGAATATACTACCCAATACCCATTTTTTACAACTATGCATAATGGGGTTAAGAACCAAATCCTAAATCAAAACATATATATATTAATTCAAGAAAAAATCCTGAAATACACGTAACATTTGCCTTCACAAGTTAATTGTAAACCAATCAAACATAGTCTTAGTTGATGCCCTGTTATATTCTAGTTGCAAAAAGACATAATGGATGTAGTCTCCTTAGATAACAGAGAAGATAGCAACTAGAACAGAGGTTTGAAACGTACATTCTATGATTAACCGATGACGTGATTAAGATTTCAGACTTTAACATCACATAAAAGAGACAAATGCCAACCATAGAATCAAGGAAACTGCAACCTGAACTTGTATAGAATGAGTTGTAGAATAAACACATGCCAAACAGGAGACTTACCAGCTACTTCCACATCTCTTTCCTCCATAGCAATTCGCCTTCTGTATTTTTTGTCTGGCAGAGGCCGTCTAGTCTTTTTCCATTTTATTTTCTTTGTGACTTTGTCTTCTGCAGATAAAGGAAGCTTTGCAGGTTTTTTTAACCTGTAGAAAGGATGAGTTGGTGGATCGAGCTTCGGTAAAGCTTCTGGATCAAGCAGTTTAGTAGTTGGGCGAGCTTGTGCGGCCTCTGACATGGACCGAAGAGCTCTATCAACACTGACAGAAGCAAAGTCATCATTTTCCTCTTCTTCCTCCTTTACTTCAAGCCTTGATTGACCTGGGTTCTGAAGACAGCGTTCAAAGCCCTTCAGCTTGTGAAATGGTGTTAAAATTCCCTTCCGTACCAATTCATCTCTTTCCTAAGACAAATAATGCAAGGTTACTCCCCCACTGCATAATCTTTTTTTCAGTGTCAAATGTAAACAGCTATTTCGATTTATAAGTACAGAAGAATTGTTAAGCATCTTACAGAGTACAGAATTTGAAAACAGTTTAACTCACTGTTTCAACAAAGCCCACGGTGGCTGCATCCAAAGCTGCATCAAAATCGTTATCCTCATCAAATGACACAACTTTCAACCTCTTTTCTACGCTGTTTCCTGATTTCTTAACCTCTTTAGACTTTCTTTTAAGTTTTGGTTTGTCTTTTACTATCTCCAATATTGTCTTAGCRTCCTTGMCTYTRCACRAATGGGAAAAATCTWTCTTCAACTGCTGTYGGGTTTTCTYCAGGCTTCTTAGCCTRTCAAYTGCTAGGGCACGCTGAAGTTGWTYWGTAGAAGCTGAAACATMKTCCTCCTCAAGCCCATGCTCCKGAGARWCAGTGCYRACGTMAGTATGTTTTTCATTTCTTTCAAATTTCTTCACTGGTTCCACTGTTGATGCAACAGCATCTATCTCATATTCTACRGCCCTCAGCTTATGATAGAGCTGCACRTGACTGGCAGAAGATGAATCRAYGCTATCTAACTTATCACAGGCRTTCTCTTCTGCAATSCCTCCAACTTCAGCCCCATTCTCGCTATTCTTATTGGCCTGCAATTCAAAAACAAATCCTTCAATGATGCTGACTGTAACTAGTTTATAGCTGATTTCTAGTTCATTTTAGCACCATCATACTGAACTGAGAAAATCAAAATAGGCAAGACTATGAGCCTAAACATTGAAGTGATAACACGCTACAAACAAAATCCCACAATTAGAATAACAGATAAGAATTCCAGCCAATACCTCCTCCAACAAGTTCCTCTCTATATCCTCCGGATTTTCAGACGTCACACCCAAGCTGTTCAGCAAAATTTGATCCTCCTCTTCCTCCATTGAATCAAATACGGAGCTTCAACCAACACATTGCATTGTGCAGCCAATAACCAAAACCTACTACAAAAAATTCAACATTCACTTCTATATTCCATAAAGCATCACAACTAACATGTTCATGTAAAATTTAAGCAACCGAAAAAAATAACTCTAGATTTCATAGTCAGAAGTTTAATTCGATCAATGAGGTCAAGTTGAAGTCTGAATTGGAAGCGTTATGAAGCAAACAAAAGAGAACTAACTTCAATTAGGACAAAGAAACCAGGTGTTTGAAAAATTACGCAAAACAGAATGTAGGAATCTCTGAATTAAGAATCCTCTCCTCCTCAAGAGCGAATCGTTTCAAAAAGAGAGATATAAACGGAGGAATCCGATATGTTTACCCTGAAACGGAAGGTCGCGAGATTCCCTACCTTCCAAAACCTAAATTCAGCACCTCTATTATTTGCATTGGGGTGTTGTAGCCCGCGACTCCATTGACATGTGGCATAAAATAACTTCAAACGAAGAGCCAAAAGATGAACAAGAAAGACAAACCTCAGTAGTTTAGACTTTGTCGCCATTGTCGTTTGTGTAAAACTGAAGATACATCGTTGCCAAATGCTCAAACCTGACAAATATCGGAGAAAAATCAAGTCATTCCACAGAAGTTCAAACAAAATTCTTAATATACAAGACTAGCATAACATTCATAGATTATTGGAGGAATAATCCGTAGTCTCGATGCAAATGAAATATATAAATCCAAAGCGCGGTGATACTTGCCTAATAGTCGAGGATTGTAGAAATAAGCACCTGGCGAAAAACCCTAGCTCTTGAACTGTTGTCGAGAAAATGGAGGAACGGTAAAACGGCGGGATACAGGAAACCGCGCAGCCAGGGTTGAAGAAATTCCGATCTCCGAAAACGAATCGAAGAGCGGCGGCGGCTCCGATTTTGAGTTGCGGTTGGATGAATGGACTTTTTGAAAATAGTTTTTTAAAAAATTGACAAAAAGGGTACTTTCAAATTATTTATCAAAATCAGGTCGGTTTTTTTTTCTTTTTTTTTGACCGATTTTTGTTTATTTAGGCTAGCTTTTTCTTTTTTTATCAGACTTCCTTCTTATTAATTTTACCTTCGTATCATGGTTTGGTATTAGATATCTGTGGTTCGTTATGTATCTATTGATTCACATTGACATAAAAGTAAATTAATATTTTTATTGTAATAAAAAATCAACAAAATATATATAAATCTCAACAAAATATCATAAATATATAAAATATTAATATAAATCTCAACAAAAAATATTTATTTATTAATTAAAATATTTTTTATGATTTTTTAAATTTTTCTAATTTTTACATCGATATCAACATTGTCATACATTCGTAGAATCAATACTTCAGCATTTCTATCCACATCCATGTTTAAAACAATATTGGTTCATATTTTTGGATAATGGTAGATTGTTGCGCGCGAAAAAGAAGGGCAAATTAGTAAAAGCGCCTCCTCTCCCAACTGATCGCGCATTTTGTGAACACGATCTCCCGGTGGTTCGTGAGGTTTCCGTCTACAAAATCCCTCCTCGAACCACGTCCGGCGGCTAAAATCCGATAAGATCTGGTCCGGCCGCCTCCGGGTTGTGTCGTGCAAGGACCGATGTGAAATCCGGTTGGAAGATGCCAACTCCGGCGACCTCTTCGCTGCTTGCTTTGTTCCTGGTCAGCGGGACAACTCTGTCGAGATAGTGCTCGACTCTTCTCGAGGAGAGACGGTGGCGCCGATATCAACGAAGAGAGCCACATTGATATTCATCCTGATCCTGCTGTGAATCACAGACTGAAGGTATTGCCAAGATTTTATTCTCATCTCATCAATGACTGAAGCTGATTAATTTGGTGGTACAGTTGTCTTGTTGAGCTACAATGTCTCGATGCTTTGCCTGAAATCTGATGGCTTTTTTACTATTAACTGATATTATGATTAGTGGAATGAAATCTCTGATCTAGCTATTAGGAACAAAATCATTCACGTAGAATTGTATAGAATAGTCACAATGGTTTTTTTGTAGGTTTTAGAAGTTACTCGCCATGTGTAGGTCTTCAATATTTTGGTGATCAAACCTTGTTTTCGAGTTAGCACCATGAGTTCACTTAATATTTGTAAAATCGTTTGAATTAATGTGAATCACAGCCATCAAGGGGAACTGGTATGCTATCTGCTACTGGGTTGTCAGGGTCTGGAACTGGAAAGCCAAAATCTTGAACTTCCAAAAGTTGGCAAGGATTTCGAGTCTCTTGGCCATGTTGGCTTGAAGGTTCAAGTTCGAACCATCTAGTGAACTTAATACTAAAAACCCTTGACGTCTTCCGGTCAGGGCCTTGGGGCAGCCATGGGTACCCTGGGTACAGGGAGAAAAGCTCCGATTCCTAGTTATTAAAAAAAAAAAAAGAACTTTTGAGTCTTTGCTCCACCAAAATCAGGTCTCCTCTTCCACCCCTCCAAATGATCCGGCCGCTCGGAAGCTATCTGCCAGTGCATGCTGTGATGTTGGTCATGAGGTACAGAAAGACAATGTAAGGCATGCAACCGATCCATTATCATCAGATCTTTCCCAACTTGAGGTACAGTTTCTACTATTAGTTGTTCTTTTCTTTATACCTCTACATAGAGAGAAACATGCTGGATTAGGATAATGGGATTCTTAATTGACTATAAATTTTCCCTTTAACTTACATATATGATATATGGTTCCTCTGTCCTTTCTGCACAACCCATTTGAATCTAGATTACTTATATGAAACACAATTACCAAGTTCGATTCGATTAGACTCGAGGACTGTTTTCTCTCCTTTGTGATGGGTATTGACAACTATCTTAGACTTTACTGTTTAAGCTTGTCCTTTTAATTCCTTTGCCAACTTCAAGACTTGTGCCTGGTGTAATGAATGTATTGAGTTATTTCTAATGCTCAAGCAATCGGCTTAGAATTTATATATTTCTTGAATGTAAATCTGACTGATCCAGATTCATTGGGTTCTCTTAGAACACAGGTAGCTTGCATCCGTGTGTCCCGACTAGCTTGCGTGCACCTCGACTAATCACGGGTCAATGCCTTACCTTACTACATTTGGTCGACAAGAAAACTCGTAGGATATTAAATCCGAGGTTGATGGCCACCATGGTTTAAACTCATTCATCTAAACCCGTTGCTATTCATATTGGTCCTTATTGACCACTAGGTCATCCCATGATGGTTTGTATTGTAGTATTAGTATGACTCTTTGGGAACTCCTGTCAATAAACATGTCAAGAACAATTCTAACACTAGTTTCATTAAATATGCAGAGAAATCTTCCTTCTGCTCCAGCTTCGGCAAAGGCATCGGCGTCAGGATGGGCACCATTCTGATCAATGTAAATGTAGCCGGTGTTTGTTATCCAAAGATCTTAGTTTGATGTTTTTTTTCTGGAGGTCGAGCAATCTTTCATTTTTTTTTCTTTGTTCATCTATAAGTGTGGAAGGAGCAAAAAAGGAGAAAGGGAAGTTATAAATGATAATACCATATACCATCTTGGAAGATAATCTTGGAATACTTGTATATACTTCTCCAGTTATTTTCCCTACCTAATGGAGAAATTTATCTTGGCTTGTCTCCGTATTCCATTTTAATCCATTGCCTACGGTTTCTGTTCTTGATTGGCTTGATTCCATTTTGTAATTCAACTCATAAATAAATTCCTTATAAATTTTACATCTTTGATGTATATAATAAAGGTGATAGGCCTCACTGACTCAATTCATGATGTTGACCATTAACATGTAAAATAAAATACAAAGCTTATTTGAAGTATTAATAGAGCAATATTGAAAAATGTTATGAAAATGTCACTAGGCAGGATATACATTTTTCTCTTATATAATTGTACAATTTGAATGTTGTTTTCTCAACCAGATGGTTTCACAAGAGACCATCTTCAAAATGATTAATTATTTCAACATTCAACCATTAAAAAAGATGGAATTGCAACCAAGTAAATATACCATAAACTATTGTAATTACATGAAGAAATTTAACCAATGAAATTCTAGTTGTAAAATGTCAAAGTTGGAGGAGACATTACCAATGTAATTTCAATTTTTTTGACCCATGGATAACTGAGTCTGCCATTGTCTTTCTAGGCTAGTCAGGTTTCTATGCGGCCTAGAAACTCACGACTAAGGTTGAGGATATTTACCTTTGACTAATTGTACTATACTCAAGTTAGTATTCACATAGCTATAAATAATTGATCTACATCTAAACTACTTGAAAAATGCCTACCATTAAGATTGTGAACATTCTTCTCTTCTTTCATGGGAGGTTGGTCTCAAAATTGCCTTTAAAGTTGCTGCAGCTATAGCTTACATGCATTCTGCAACTTCTATACCTATTTTACATCGAGATATAAAGCCTTCAAATATACTTTTGGATCATAACTATAGTGCAAAAGTATCCGATTTTGGGATATCAATATTTGTACCCTATGATCAATCTCATTTAACTACAAAACTGCAAGGAACATTTGGCTATGCTAATCCTGAGTATTTTTTGTCAATCCAATTAACTGAAAAGAACGATATTTACAGTTTTAGAGCTCTAATAGTAGAGCTTTTAACAGGAAACCATCGTTCTCTTTTGCAAAAGATGAGGGCAAGAATCTACTAGAGTACTTCTAGTAGAAAGAGAGGCAAAGATAGAGGATGTTTATTGTGTTGCAAAGCCATTAGATGTTTGAGATTGATGGGAAAAAAAGGCCAACCATGAAACAAGTATTTTTGGAACTATAGAAGCAAGGAAGCCCCAGATTTAAATCAATCAAATGGGAGTTTGAGTATTCACAATGCAAGTTTCAGCAATGAAGAGTTTATGGGTGATGAGACATTGTAAAATTTGAAAACATACAGCTTTTGAAGCTTCTGAGTGTTATGTGAAGTTATATATGTAAATATGTTTATATTGAAAAAAAAATGATTCAATGTTTTCAGTGAACTTGTTATTATCAAATAGGTTAGACCAATTTAATCTATTTTCTCCCTTTAATCTGATTGTCTTTGAAAAATTTCATGAGCGAATTTCTTCAAATGTTGTTTTGTGTCTATGGTTTGATATCTACTCAACCATGTCTAATTTGTGAACGTCAACTTTGCCTCTTTCAATAATCGCTCAATTCAAATTTTGTCCACAACTCAACAGATTGCTTTGGCCCAACTCATGACAGGCATATCTAAGATCGTTACTTTACAATGAATGAGTAACGTGTAAGGAACCAAAGGGTGCATTTGGTTGGTAATCATAAAACAGAAATTTGAAAACAAATGATTCAATGAAAACCAAAATTGTATTCTTTGTTTTTAGTGTTTTCATATATGTGTTTAGTAGCAGATTTGGTAATTGAATCTCAATTTAAAGAATTGTTCAATGTGTATTTAGTAATATATTTGTAAACTAAAAGTAGTTGCAAACTACATTTTAGTTTAATCTAAACTTATATTAATTAATTTATTAACATTTTTCTTATGAATTTTGTATAATTGTTATTTTACAGTGTTATATAATTTAGAATACATTATATTTTACATGTTTTAATTTTAACAAACATAAAATGAGTTTATAATATAAAGTAATATATTTATCAAAGTTTTTATCATTTTTAATGTAATTCTGCATCTTCAAAATTTCAAATTCTGAATCTAAAAACACTGAAAACATAAAAAAAAAAAAAAAATTGAATCACATAATCGGAAAATAGTTTTACACCTCCGCCTAAAAATCATCCTTCTAGGGTTTTTTTTTTTTTTTTCAAATGCAGAATCTGAGTCAAAACTCTTTCACCTCAAAAAGAATATCATACTCATAAATTAATGTCAATGACTTTGTGATTAAATATAGGTAATATTTTTCTATAAATTATTATGAACTATTTGGATTCAATTATTTTCCTTCTATAGAATTTCTAATTTGAATTTTGCAAAATCTAAAGAAGTCATAATTTTGAGAGGATTCGCCATAGTTGGATCCCTGCGCAAAAATACATCCTTCTCAAAGATTTGATGAAATGACCCCAAGAGCGATGGATTATTAGAGTTATAAATCAAAGCTGGTATAACTTTGAAAATTTATCATTTATACACTTTTAAGCAACAAGGATTTAAAAAGTTATTTTTGGACTGGTTTCATACCTTAAATTTGAAGCCTAAATACTAAGTTTGTGATATAACAAGCATTTGAGTATGTTATCGTCAACAAGGCTATTACAATCAATTACCATACCATAACAGGTGGAATAATAGTGCTATAAATCTTATTCAAACGACTATCAAAAGACATCTAATTCTGAGTGTAAAAGTGAGACATGAGTCAAGTCGAGCAGAGCTATAGATAAAATAATTATTAATAAATAAATAGGCACACCACCATTATTCCATGACAACTGAAAAAACAATCCATATCCATTAAAACGAAAAGAGAGAAGGGAAAGAAAACAACATTCTTCATATGTATTTTCCACCACACCATGCCACTCCCACTCAGTCTCCACTTGATGACTCCAAAAAAGAAGGGAAAAAGGAGGGGGAAATGAGATTTTTTAAACAACTGAGGGCTAATACCAGCAGTAGCAGCTTCTACACAAGAAGAATTGCTTCCAAGAAAGCAACCTATTCAAATCCAACCAAACATGACTCAACGGATCTTCAAGTAAAAACAACAGCAATAATTGGAATAAATAATGAATATTATGAATTCTGTATGGTCACCATGAAGAAAGCAGCAAACTTTGCAATGTAGGCTGACATATATATCAACAGTGAGGAAGAAAACTGAGTTCGATTTACTTCAAGGCTCCACGATCGGGGGAGCCATGGCAGGTGGCTTTAGAAGCGGCTGCAGAGCCTTGACGACAATGCTCATGTTCGGCCTGAACTCCGCTTCATACTGGACACACAGTGCTGCAACGGCTGCAAGCTGCAATAAAATAACACCATAGAACCCAAGTCAATGTGGTCTCACTAAGTTTGGCTGCAATGTGTGGAATTTAAAGAGAAAGGGGCACCTTGGCAACTCCTTTGGGAGGATATTCGCCCTTCAGCCTTGGATCTACACATTGTTTAACTTTGTCTTCACTTAGCCTTGGAGTAGCCTTTAACAAAAAAAGACATTCATTTTAGAGACTCCTAAAATTCGAGTAGACCGCAGACGAAAAAGGCACGGGGAAATTGAAAAGCAATAAGAAACACTCACCCATGTAACAAGACTCTGCTGCCCGCGAGGCATGGTGTGATCAACGGGTTTCCTCCCAGTCAAAAGCTCAAGTAGAACCACGCCGAAGCTGTAGACATCACTCTTTTGTGTCAATTGTCCAGTCATTGCATACCTGAGGGAAGAGAGAATTTTGACATCAGTACACTAATTCATTCACAATAGCTACTCATCCAATTTCCAGTTAACAAGAAAGGAAGTAAATGTGTCAACAGGATCAGCATTAAGAAACAACTGTCGCCGCATCCACCATTTTTATAGGTGCAAGTAAAAACAGAACAAATAGATGAGATTTCTGAAACATTACTCAGGAGCATGATAGCCAAAAGTTCCCAAAACTCGAGTAGAATGAAGACGAGCAGCCATGTCAGGAGCCTGGTTTGAAAGGTTAAAGTCTGCAATCTTGGATTTAAAGTCTTCAAAGAGGAGCACGTTGCTGGACCTAACATCTCTATGTATGATAGAAGGTTGAACTTTCTCGTGCAAGTATTCCAATCCTCTGGCTGCATCAACAGCAATTGTCACACGCTGCATCCAATCAAGCACCGGACCGGGCTGTGCCCCTTGCACTCCCTTTCTACCTGTGCAGAGAAACAACTCATGTGACTAACTGGCCTATATGAAAACTGAACTAAATAACAATTGAACTTAACACGGTTTCGTACCATGCAATATGTCATGTAGAGAACCCATAGTTGCAAACTCGTAGGCAAGTACACGGAAATTTCCTTCGACACAATATCCTTGCAACTCAACAAAATTTTCATGTTTCAACCTAGAGACTGTAGAAACCTGAAGCAGGAGGGGGAATCAAAACTCATGGAAAATAATGTATTAGGACAAGATAGATAGAGTTGTAATGTGCTAGATCTATTTATATATCGACATTGTACACAAACCTGAGTCAAAAAGTCACCATTCGAGTCAGGCTCAGAGGAAACGTCGAGCTTCTTTACTGCCACAGCCTTCCCATTGATTAAGCTAGCATAATAAACTCGACCATAAGATCCTTCACCAATAAGTGCTTTGGACCCGAAGTTGTCGGTCATTCCTTTCAGTTCTTCCAGAGGCAGTACTGGTACTTCTATGGGAGGTGGAGTTTTTGGTGCTTCAACCTTGACAGGGGCCGACTCTTTCGAGCCCTTTTGGTGACCTAAAAGGCATAAAATACATAAGACAGATATAAATCACGTAGTAGACAAACCATAAGAATCCACCTAGGGTTTTACAATTGAGTTCCCAGGCAATAAAACAAAAACACTAGGGGAAAGGTTATTGAAATTCACCCTTCATTTATCTGCATGAAATATCAAGGCTATGGTGTTACCCTGACTCAAGTTGTCTCGAACAAGAACAAAAGATTGATAAATATGCTTTAATATATGACATGAATGTATTTTACTATTATTTAAGATAGTTGATGGATAGGAACTAATGAACTGGAATAGACGTTGTATGTTGCTTGCCTTTAACCATACTTGGCATCCAGTTCCACTGACTACAACAACAATGCCTCTGCTTCTTCGCCTCCAACTTAATACCCTTTCTGGCAGCCCCATTCTTGGCATTTCTTTTATCTAGCGATCGATTCTTCAATCTTCATGGATTTCTTCTCCTTGCCCAAAACAACATGGATTCAGTATGTTTTTCTTCTTCTATATGTGCCCCCACTTTCGTTTGTCAACCTACAATCTATCTAATCCTCTCTTTCTACTTCTGAGTTTCAAGTAACCTTCCTGCTATGCATCTACTCTTTCTTCTTTACAGTAAGAGCTTCTGAAACCCTAAACAACCCTACCTCCAGCACCTTTCTAGCTAGAACCATTAATTCCTTCTCTAACTCCACCGAGAACGCAAATGCCTAACAATCCATTGCATTAACTAAATGCCCATCATATGCCCATGGTGAATTCTCAACCTCTTTCTTGGATCCCTTCAATTATCCTCCAAGCTGGAGCGCATCCTCTCCACCGTTTTCATCCGGTAACGTTGCTGGCAACCAGCCATGTATCATCCTGATTTTTTGGTGTTTGCTCAACCTGACCTTTTTAGCAAACCTTCACATTTAGACTTGCAACTTGCAACCCATATTCAGTCTATACACTTCTTCTGGCTCCATCTTCTTCCTCCTAAATTCCATCGTGTGATGATCCCAACACAGTTGCATGTCACTTCTCCCAAGCATTGAGTTTCCCCAACCTTGATCATTCTTTATCTTTTTTTTTTATAACTAGGAGTCAGAGCTTTGCTCTCATATACCCAAGGCCCAGACCCAAGAGACATCAAGGGTTTTTGGTATTAAGCTCATCGAGAGGTTCGAACTTGAGACCTCTAAGCCAGTATGACCAAGAGACCCCAATTCCATGCCACCTAGGCTACCGCTTGGGCTCATTCTTTATCTATTTTGACTCCTCTCCAGGTGATTTTAAGTGTGATTTTGTTGCTTTCCAATTTTCCCCCCCATATTCTACATCACAACCGCATTGATGAGATTATCTTCCTTCATTTTTAGGTTTCAAGAAAATCCAAATTCATTCACATAGATCGAACTCCCTTGAACCAATTTGATACGAAGCAAATAATTGGAATGGTGAAAGTATTGGAAAACTTGAAAACCAACTTAACAAGAAAATGTAGTAAAATCCCCCAAGTAACAAGAAGAATTGAACAATTTCTGGCCTCAAATATTCTAATGTCTCTATTTATAACCATTTCACTAACAAAGTCCTTACAAAGACTAATATGCCTCAAATATTCTAATGTCTCCCTAATAATATTTCAAACATAAACATATAAAACTATTAATTATGTTAATTTCACGATTCTGTTTTATTGATATTTTTTTCTGTCATTTCAACTAATATTTTGGATTGGAAAACAGAAGAGAAAAATCAAGCACTTCCCAGTAATTTGTTAACTTAAACATTATCATACTATATATGATTTACAAAATATTGATATCTCAAAGACTTCAGAGTAAATAGCGAATCCTTCATTACAAATCATATAAAATCGTGCGAGAATTAAATGATAGATTAGAGTATTACCATCTCCATAACTTCGTGGGCTTTTCAGGTGCTCACTTTCTGCTGATGGGTAGGGGTCTTCGACTTGACAAGTACAACAAAGCCACCTGCGCATTCTATCCCTTTTACTTAGATATAGATCGTCTTTAGAACCGGTATTCTTCAAACGTACGAAGTCACCAGGAGGAGGGGCATGCGCCTGCACGGTAACCAAAAGCTCTAATAAAAATAATTCCATTTTTATAAAGATGGGAGACAAATTAATATGTAAACACAAACGGCAATGACAAATGAAAGATCCTTTTTCCTTGAGTGAATATCACCGACAAAAGAAATGGTATGGTTTCTTTATACGAATATAATGAAGAGAATATGTAATATTACAAGAAATGACTGAAAAGAGAGAATTTTTTTTTCATGAGAATTGAGAGGCATTAGTAAAATAACAAAAAAGCAAAAAAGGGGGAAACGTTCCTCGAGGTAACGATTGAAATATACTTCTACCAATTTAAGGATTCATTGATGACTAATGCCTCAGATCTTTTCATTCCACCTATAGCTAACCTTCTCTTAATAAAATTCCTCGATAACTTTGAAAATATTTCATCGCCATATAACTCCAACCCCACCACCCTTAAATATGATCACATGACACGTCCTTTTTGAAGGATCCAACTTTCAGGCATATTAGAAGAACAGACAGGTCCAAATAACGTTTTCAGTTTATGGAACAATGAAAATGGAAATTTGAAACATTCATAAAAATGGAAAAAAAAAAAACAAAAACATTAAATTCCAACAATCCTTACCACTAAACCAAAACGATGATGATGATCTCGGCCGTCCATTATCAAACCAGAGATTCAAAATTCAAAATGCCAACAAAATAAACAAGGCAGAAACAAAATAGAAGAAGAAGAAAAACACAACCCCAGATACAGACTGATCCCGAACACAGAAAAACAAGAAACCCAAATCACCCACAACCCAATAATTAAAAAAAAAAACACAAGGGAGACTTTCAGATTTCAACCCTGTTTCAGAAATTAAAAACCCAAATTCAAAATGGGACAGAAATTGCAAGAGAAGGGGCGAGGAATGGAAAGGGAAATGAGAGATTAGCGAGCAGAGATCGAGAAGTTTATTAAGAGAGGGGGAAAACAGAAGAGAAAAGGGAAACAGAAATGGATTTTACCTTCTGGTTTGTGCCTCTCCTGGGCTTCGGCAAGGGGAAATGGAAGAATAAAGGAAAGACAGGTTGGATTTGAAAGGCTTTGGCTTTGTTGGGTCGTCTTCCGTTTTGGCTTTTCGGTAGTTTTTCGGAGCAAAAGCAATGAACGGATGACAGTGAAGCAAACGCGGGGCAGAGGCGGAGAAGGTTTCACCCTTTTTTTTTATTTATTTAATTTTATTTTAATGATTTCAAATTTTAAAAATAACTAATTGTGAGCCAGTGGGATTGTGGTAGATACCTACTTTTACTCAATTGCTTTAATTAGTATTATTTCATTGACTTCATTGAATCAATGCTGCGTTTGTTCGTTATTGCCCTTCACTTTTATAACATTCATTAGTAATTTAGTATATTCCTTTTTTTACAATTTTTCGAAGAATTACGTATTTTTACCTCTGGTTTTTAATTCCTTTTACTTTTAATTTTTATTGATTTTAGTTGATTATTTTAGTTCCTATTTGTAAAACTGTAACACATTTTTAATATAATTTTATAGCTGAATTTTATGTAAGATTTTTAATATAATTCATAGCTGAATTTTAAGGAATTTATTGAGTGGATTCTTTTGCTAAAATTGTGATGGAAAGAAATGAGACAAAAATGAAATTGAAGACACCAAAATGATCACTTTTTAAAAATATAATGATCAAATTAGACATTTTAAAAAGCATAGAGAGTCCGAGACTAAAACAAATAAAAGTTGAAAAGTATTGAAACCGTATAAATCAAATCAAAACTATAAGGACTAAAATAATACTTAAATTTATTTTGGTTCGTGAACTTACCGATATAAATCTCTATTAAAAAACCATAAAAATATATGGAAGCGTGTAAAATATTTTGAAAACTATAGTAATATTTTTAAGGGAAATTATAGTGGTTAGCAAAAAAAAACTTTTATATATTTCAAAATATATGGTCTGTTTTCAAAATTTTCAAATGTAGCAAAAATTTTCACTTATATCAGTAGTTATATCAAACACTCGTATTGGTAATATATTAGATGTATATCAATTATATATTGCACAAACACTCATATGAGTAGTATATCAAATGCATATCACATCCATATTGCAAGTATATTAGACACTCATATGAGTAGTACATCAGATGCATATCACATACATATTGCAAGTATGTTAAATACTCATATCAGTAGTATATTAGATGTATATCACATAAATACATATATTGATAGTCATATATATTACAGATATATTATAAATATATAGCATTTGGATTGTCATTTTAAAATTTGGACCTCCGTTTTTTTTCTTCAAAACGTGTTATATCGAAAAAAACTAAATGTGGTTGTTATTTTGCTAATTCTAGTTTTTGTCATATTTTACTGGCTTATTAGGTGAATAATGGTGAAATCAATTTAAGAATATTACATCGTAGATTGGGAGTAGAAATTTGAACAACTTCTTTCAAAAAATGGTTAAATTTGTTAGACAACTTTATTTAGGTTAAATGACAAGTTTGACCCTTCAAATTTTTTAGTATTGGTAATTTAAGGGTGTGTTTATGGTCTTCGTATTTCAAAAAGTTTATATGCCCTTGAATTTTATATTTTGTGCTTACTAAGTCTATAGAGAAATTAGTGGGTTTTTATGTTGGTAAAAAACGGTTTAAGCACAATTTGTGTGGTTTAACTAAACCATTATGGATCAAATAAAAACTTTTAAAATCATATCAACTGAATTTAAACTTAACCTAAATTAGGGATCAAATGAAATGTTTTAGAATTCTTAGAGAATAAATCAAATTTAAGTTCAAGTAGACTAAATGTGCAATTTAATCTTATTTTTAAATATAATTTAATATAGGTTAAAAAAATACTTTTGGTCCCTATACTTTGGTTAAAGTAATAATTTAGTCACTGAGTTTTAATTTGTAACGATTTAATCCATGTTCTTTCAGATTGGTAACCTTTTAGTCCTTGAACTTTAATAGGTAACAATTTAGTCCTTGTAATTTAAAGTTGGTAACAACAATTTAGTCCTTGTAATTTAAAGTTGGTAACGATTTAGTCTTTATCGTGAAATATTTTTTTGTTAAGTTTCTTATATATATAGATAAATAAACTAAAGATGGACCAAATATGTTTATAACTAGAAAGATTAAATTGTTATATGATAAAATTTGACACTTAATTTTAATAAAATTGTTTACGATAGAGACTAAATTGTTACAAATTTAATCTGCATGGACTAAATCGTTACAAGTTAAAGTTTAGGGACTAAATTGTTACTTTAGTAAGAACTAAATCGTTACAAACTAAAGTTTAGAAACTAAATTGTTATTTAACTGAAAGTACAGGAATCAAATGTGTTTTTTAACCTTTAATCTATAACATTTTAAAATTTAATAGATAGTTCTTATTTCAAATATTATATTTTAGTGTCTGAATATGTTATTATAGTTCTCATTTAGTTATTTTGTTAATTTTTCATTAATGATTGAAAAAATTCATATATGTTTTAAAATGCGACATCTAACCTATTTCAAATAACTCCAAATATTTATCTCCAATTACATCTAATGATTAGATAAATTAATGAAACGTTTGCTTTAGATTTTTATTAAATAATTTATGAAATTTTGCGGCTAAAATGGAAGTTTAAAGACTATATTAAAATATTTTACAACTTAACAAATAAAATAGAATAAGATCGAAAGTTATGGATAAAATATATATATTTAAACCAAAGTTTTCTAAATTAACCTAATTTTGGCTCTCAATTTTTATATTTAGTCTAGCTTGTCTATTATTTTTTATTTATTTTAAAATATGGTTGTTCCCGAATAATTCTATATATAGAAATCTAATTTTAGTACTTAGCATTAAATTTTTGTAGCATATTTAGTAGAAATTCTGGACAAAATGGGTAGCCTCGTATTTATTTTGGATTAAATATGAATTAACATCACAAATATGGAGATAAAGAATTCCAACGTCTGATCTATTAGTGTTTTTTATTTTGAGAGTTTCTAGATTGGCTAAAGGTCTAATAACCAATATTAAAAATATAACAAGAATGTAACAGATGATATATCTTATCAGGTAAAACTGAGGCAACATGCGTCAAACATTCAGTTGAGTTACGTTTTTCGAACAATTGGGAATCAGGCTAAAATGAGCACACCGAACCCATTTATGAGTGCAACAATTTGAGGGGCTAAGCGCACTTGAGCCAATAGAGATATCTAGTGAACGTAGTGGTGACACTTTGTAACCAAACTGTCATACTTTTTAGAGAATCATCCAAGACGCCACATGTCCCTTTTAGAGGACGCATGGGGAAAGGGAATGCCAGTGGTCCCAGCGATCTCATGCCGACACTCCCCTCAAATAAAAAAAAGGGAAAACCCCTAGTGGAAACAAGTCGAAATTCCCTACACAAATACTTGTGAGAATAATTCAGCGCACACTTACTCTCAAGCATACTCTCTCAACTCGAAATAACTGCTTCCTTGCTCTACTTGCTCCATAGCAGTTTGATTTTACATTAAGTTCTAACTTAAGTGTCAGAGTGCATCCGACGGAGCACTTCACCGATGCTAAATATTCCTGTATGCATGTGATCCAAAAGTTAGGAGATGGCAGCGTATGTGTGATACCTATGTGGCACTAATTGCCCAAAAATCGGCATCAACAATATATGACTTAAGCAAGGTGTACTATGATGTACTTCAATTACCACATACTAGATTTCTTTTAGCTCACAACTTTAATTTAAGAGTCATGTTATCGTCGCAAATTCTTTTGTTAAGAGCCCCGTCTCTATCATAATTCTTATATAAAATAATCTCATAAATTTGATGAAAAACCCATCAACATAGAGTTCAATGTCACATATAGAGATTGCTTCGAAGTAAGATGTTTGCATTGACCTTTTTTTGAACTAGAATTGGGGTGAGAGAAGAAGGGAATAAAAATATCTCATCAATAAAGTAAGGGCTTTCGAGATCTCCCCACCCCTTTCCATTATTCCTCTCATTCTCTTTTTCAATAAAGAAGACATATCCCCTAAATTAAAATAGGTAAAGAGCCCCTCTATGATGAGCTAGGGTGGAAACAAAATAATCTCAATTTGACGACAAATTCGGTTCGATAAGGTGAATATATCTTTATAATCATTTAAGGTAGACTTTCTCAAGTATATACGAACTCTAATTAATTATCATTCTATTCTACCTTTTGTTATCATGTATTATAATTTGGATCATTAGAATATGTTGCTTTAATATTAAACATCATATCGATGTTAGATAAATAAATCTCACAAGAATTATTTATAAAAGGAAGGATTATTTGAATTTTTTATGGGCTTAAATTTGTCCATCTACTCGTGTTTATCTTCAAACACCTCGATGGCTCGACTTGAATCTAAATGCATGTAGTTGCATTTTTTTAGTTCAAATATGTTGAGGTAGGAGATTCAACCTTCGATCTGAAGAAAAATTATGCTCAAATTGACATGAGAATTTGGAACTCACAATCTTTTAATCGAAAGTATGTGTATGTCTTAACCAATTGAACTATATTCAAGTTGATATACATATTTTTGTCTCACATTAGCCACCACAATAACTCTGGGTTGAATTGACATTAGTTACATGATAATTCATGTCTCGCATTATTTCGGTTCTTGAAACAAAAATAGTCATTTTAATTGTCATTAGTATGATTTTGTCACTTGATATTCCGACTCATGGTATCAATCTATACTCATGCCAACATATTACATAGTTCCACTATAAATTGCATCTACTCATCTTAACTAAGAGTTGAAATATCATACTCCCAATTTGTTACCGTAAGAAAAATAAACCTATTTGAAGCATGTCATATATTTATTATAAATACCATTAAAGTAAGCGTCAAAATATTTATTTTTTGAAATTTGAGGACTAAAATGAAATAAGTTGTATCCAAACTAAAATAAAAATGAAAAATTTATTTTCTCTGTATTTTCCCCTTTTATCCTCTCTCCCACTCTCTTACAAATACAAGTCAAAGGTTACCCATACGTTAAACCCCATATTTTTGGTTCACTCACTCGGCGGTGACTCTCTAAAACCCTCCTTGGTTTCTTCGAGTAATGGCCGATGAGATAAGTTCTGCTGGCACTGGCGATGGGTTTAATCGAAGATTTTCGGCAGCTGAGAACCCCCAGTTTCCTCTGCAACCCATTGATTCTGCCTCTGAGATCTCTACCGACGAGAATAAATTCCCTTCGATCGCCTCGAATCAGAAGCAGGACTTTGAAGTAATGATAAACGGTAAAAATTCCGCTTCTGGGTTCTCCGCCAATGTTTTCCATTGCGCTGCAGAAGAGAACCCAGAAATTACAGAAACTTCTGTCGAAAAGATGGTCGTGTGCGATTCGGCTTCTGAAAACGGAGGAAGCATTACAAGCCTGGTGGACGAGGTTAGGAATCTTGATTCGGGGCTTGAAATTGAAAAAGAATCTTCCAAGGTGGACGATGTCCGCCACTTTGAAACGTTCGAYGCCGTGGAAGATGGTAATCAAGAAGTCGCGGTGGATGAAGTTGAAGAGAAAGATTTTGCAAGAAGCATGCCGAGTCTTGATAGAAATCAAGATTTTGCAAAGAAAGAACTTGTTCAAGAAGTTCAGTTGTCTGCTGCTATTGAAGCCGACGGCAAAGAAGCCTTTGCGCGATCGGAAGAGCTGTTGAGGAAAGAAGCTGCTTCTGCGAGCTTTCTGGAAATGAAAAAGAAATTACTATTGGAGGAACTCGAAGCCATGTTGGTTCTTGAAGAAAAGGGAAAGAACCCCCCTAACTCAGAAGGGATCGTGGATAATTGCAGCATGATTCCTATTGTTAAGGGGAAGATTGCTGATCAGCAAAACGTTTCCGAGAACATGAATGTTCTCAGACGAAGTAATTTGTCACTCAGAAATTCATTGAAGATTGAAGTAATAGACGAGACTGCATTAGTTGAACCGGTTCATGTTTCTGAAATTGGAAATGGAGAAGAGATGGGTATTGTTTGTCCATCTAGGTCAATGCAGATCAAATTGAACAAGTATGTTGAACCTGAAAAAGGAGGTAAAAAGGCTAAACGATCAAGGAGGAGGGCAAGGGAAGCGAAGATTCCTGAGATACATGGGAAGCTGTGGAATGTCAACGAGCTTGATAAATTCAATGCTCGTCAAAAAAATATGGAAGGAAACAAGATAGTGTATTCAAGGAAGGATATGGAAGCACTGAGGTTTGTGAATGTTGCAGAACAGAGGAGATTGTGGAAAGCTATATGCAAGGAACTTATGCCCGTTGTGGCAAGGGAATACAGTAGCTTAACAAGCTCGAATTCCCAGATGAAGATAGGCTCCACCTCTGATTCTAAACAACATTTGGAGAAGAGAGACGAAGCCTCTTCAATTATAAGTAAGTATATCTATTTGCTTTGCTTTAGTTTTATAAGAAGCATTTACAGATAAACTAGTTTTTAGTAAGAGTCAGATGAATGAATGATGGTTGATGGGTGTATATTTAAGTTGATTATAAAGTTTGCATCTGAAGGTCTGACCCTGTTTCAAGTCGTTAGAGCCCAAATATTCTCTTGAAATTGATTTTTTTTTTTTGATGGAGAAAATTTAATTGATTAATTGAATTATACAACAAATGGAGAACCCTCACTGTGAGAAGTTACAAAAGGGTCTTCCAACTAGTGCATAAAGTAGAAATAAGAATAGTTTTGAAAGGGACTATATCTCTCACACCAAGTAATCATCCCAGAACCAGAAGAAGGAAACATAAGTCTCTTTGTTTAAAAGAACTCTTCTACTACTTTCAAGTCACAAGGACCACAAAAAGACCGACTAAAGTGAGCTACAAAATAATTACCACCTTTTTAAATGGATGCTCTTCTAGAATAAGTGCAGGAGTGCCTTGGATTTTGTTTTTGGTTCGGGAATTAGGCCATCTAAAAGCTCCAAAGATAGCTTTCCTAGAGTTCTAAGCGTATGGCAAGTGAAAAAGAGGTGATGTTGAGATTATGAACATGCTCTGCAAAGGCAGCAGTGAATATGGAAAAGGCAAACAGTGTGATCTTTCTTTGAGTATTGTCTTGAGTGTTTATCCTACCAAGGGATACTTGGAGAGTTCGTGAACATATGAATCATGTCTTGTTCTTCTTGAATCTTTTTAATTGTTTTGTTGAACTGAAGCTGTTTCAAATTTTGATTGCATGGAATTTTGGTTAATTTTGAACAAAACTCATTATTAACTTTTCATCTCATTTTGATCTCACAATTAAAGGTTTGTATGATAGTGAAGGGTGGAACACTGGTTTTTGAACTTGTTTCTTGTTTCATGAACCCTGGCAATAGATTAATTTGAAAGACACTGTAGTTATTTTTAAACTTAAGCACTCATAGTAGTTAAATGTAATATTAAATCTTTCTTGTTCACAGTTGCACCTATGGAATTTGCTTTCTTTCTTTTCAACGTTAGGGTTATTTTATGTCATGAGAACTGTTATAAAGTGAATGCAATTGGTAGACTAGCAGGCAAACCACCATTTTACATGAGGGCAACAATGTCAACTTCTTCATAACACCAAAAAAGACATCAAATTTGTTAAATAGGAAACGTAGAAATTTATTTTTGATCTTGTTTACTGCCTATGTCCATAAGGTGGCAGAAGAATTTACTGAAATCTGGGTAGTAATGGAATATTATTTCTTTATAAGCAGTTAGTCTTATTTTTATTGTCTCATTTGAGGTGATTGAGTTCTTAATTGTTTGTTAATGTTAACAAAAGGATCTTGATGATACCTTGCCAACAGGCTGTGCTGCCTTTATTTTACTACCTATTTTCATTATGATGTTGTGTATTTGATGTAGTTTTTGGGACCAGAATCTAATTGGGGGCGAGGTGATCTCCACCCCTGGCCCTTAGGTTGTCTTTTGTTCTTTTGGAATACAATTTTTGTTTATCAAATAAATTAAAAAGGTCTGGAGGAATATAATTTATCTTTCTCGTAACTTTTGCCTAGCGGCCATGTAGACCAATATTCTTTCACTCTAATTATTAACTTTTTTCCTTCTTATTTTTGATAAGAATCTTTTTCCTTCTTCCAATATCAAACTCATGTGGGTTCTTTTGGTTTCAAGGTGTCTATGAATGGCTTCTTTTGGTTCTTTTTTCCCAGAAGAAAATATTTTTTTTGTCTGCTATTAGTGCTATTAATTTTTTTCCGTTTGATTTCTCAAGGTACTTTCTATCGAGTCTTTTGCCCATTTACTCTGCTACATAGTACACCACCTTTTGCGTTGAGGAATTTGAGCCATCAACTTGTTAATGTTCTTGATTGGGAAGATTGTTATAAAAATCTCACAAACCTATTTCGACTTTCTATATAAATTTTTTTCTTTTCAGAAGATTATATTATTTTGAAGCAACTGAACTTGACAATTACAGTCATGGTTTTTGGTTCTGATTGTGTCATTTTGATGGTTTCAATTTCTCTTGTGCACAGGTGTTGTTGCTGCAAGGGGAAGATGGGATCATATGAATATTTTTGTGCATTGAAGAATGGCCTAAATCAATCCAACTAAAGACCTTATGTGCATCAAAATCAACATGTTTTGTTGTAATAGGCGAATCATAGCTCTTGTCTGTACCAACATACAGATTACACAAAATTTCTGTTCTTTTTTGTATAGAAATGATTGCAGTTTCACATTCTTTTGTACACGATGCAAATTCACTAATATGGTGCTGAATGATATGGAAGTACTTCAATTCTTTTTTACTTGTTTGTGCGTAATGCTTTTGTCTTCTCTATTTATTAAATTGACATGAGAACCATACATATTATTTTCGGGGTGGAACTTGACGGTTTAATAATTTCTTTAGATCACTAAAGTTTTGTTGCAACTTAACAGGGGAGGGATGTTCAGAAAGCTTGGACGGTGAGATAGAGGACATGGAAGGTGATAGTGAAATTAAAAATTTTGTATCCTCGGATCCCTCTTGCAGTCTTAGTGTCAGTGAGGATGGCAATACAATTTTGGATGAGTGCAGTGGAGATAGTGATGATGATAAATATTACCACAGTATTCAGCGACCTGCCTTTCTGGTGGAGGGAGAACCTGATTTTGATTCAGGACCTCCAGAAGATGGATTAGAGTATCTGAGACGTGTTAGGTAAGTTCTTACATGTCAATTCTATTACTTGCTTCTTGCTAATGATTTCTGTAACCTATTTGAGTTTCTTTTTCCCCACATTTTATTTGAAATTGCCTTCAGGTTTGATAAAATGCTTGATTTTCTATGACTTATTTAGAAAAAACCTTCGTCTAAAGTGAATTGGATGATAAACAAGCATTTTCGAGTCAAGCAAATGAAGAGGTTGCATCCTATATATATATATATATTTTTATATATATACTTTTCTAAATTGTGAGATCACTCAAGCGCAATAGTACTTTTAAGATTGTTTATAAATCTGCGATTTTAGACAACACATTTCTTATTTATTAACAGAAAAAAAAAGAAGCTTGAGGTGCATCCAATGTTTTAAAAGGCTTTTGAGGCTTACGCCTTGAGGCCCGCCTCGAGGCAAGGCTCTAACTTTTAGCCTCAAGTCCTACGCCTTCTTTGGACTATAAGAGGCTTACGCCTCGCATAGAAGAGGCTTACGCCTCTTTGAAAACGCACTGAGGCTTAAAGTATACGCCTCATGTAATGATTACAAGAATACTATTAATTTTTCCAATTCTTAAAAAATATCAAGGTTTTTTTTTTATGGAATCCTAAGCAAGAGTTGTAAGTAAGTGTAACAATTCAATCTATTACTACTTTTACTACCTAGACTTTAAAAATATTGAAGACAACAATTTATAGAATAAGTAAGTTCTATTGGTGATAATAGTAGTGATGTTATGATGTTTTTTTAGAATTTTTTTTGAGTGACAAGTAACAGGCGGATATTTTGATAATTTTATATAACTATTATGTTTGGTAATACTTGACCACACAAATTTAGGTTTTGTTTAATTCTTTTAATTAAAATTGAGGCTTACGCCTCATACCGCCTTGAGGCTTACGCCTCGCCTTTTCAAGAGAAAAAGCCTCGAGGTCGCCTTTAGCCTTTTAAAACATTGGGTGCATCCTAGTGTGTGCTTCTGTAAGGGTTCCTAGAATCTAGGCTCACCTTTGAGAACATGATTGCATCTTTGAAACTGTAAGTGCATCACCTTTGAGAATTTAAAAGCTGTGATGTGTGAGAAATTGTATCCCTCTTTCTTTCGCCATTGATGTGCCTTCTATTTGTATTGCTTGTATTTCACTCCATAAGGTAGCTCTCTTCATTTCCCCCAAATTTCTATGAGAAAAACATAGCTGAATGCTGGGATGCTTTTGTTGAATTAAAAAAAGAAAAAAAGAACTCTGGCGTACTGCATCATATGGTGGGTTGATCTTTTTCAGTTGGTCCTGTCTATTGTATTATATCTATGTATTAAAATAAAGTCTTCTCTAGTACTTATTCCTTTGTATTTCTTGTCTATTTTGAAGTTCCTCTTCGTGTAGCCGATTGTACTTGGTTGAATTTACAGGTTAATGCCATCTTTGGTCAGTTGAATCGATTTAGAAATAACTATAAGAGTTCATAAATATAATTAATGCCATAGATGGGCGGTAATCTTTAAAGGGTTTTGAACAATGATGAGTGGGAGGAGACAATTAGATTTAAAAAGGGGATCTCAAGGCTCTTGTTGGGCGGGAATATACAAGCTGTAGACTAAAGGCTAGGGTGAAATAGATTAGCAAAGGCAAAATTGCAACACATCTTTCTGATTGTTAACGTTAGAATACTCAGGAGCTGGATTTCGTCCTTAGAATTGGGTTGCCACTCTTAGGGGTGAAAAACAGGAGTTGCTTGCACGACCTTCTACTATTGAGGAGATTAGAGAAGTGATATTTAGCTGTGGAGTCTTGATGGATTCTAAATGGCTTTTTTTCCCTAACATAGTCGGGATATCATAAAGGAGGAATTGGTCCGAGTGTTCAATGAAATTTTTGAGAGGTATGGTAGATGTCATTAAGAACGGATCCAATGTTCGTTAAAGTGTGAGAAGGTACACTTAAGTATAACAGCATGGTGTGTTTTAAGTGTGAAGTGGAAAAAAGAAGAAAAAAGTTTTAAGATTTACTTTTTCCATAGAAATTTATAAATCAATTTTTCATGGGAAAAAGTATAGAAATGTGAATAATAAGATGATAAATGTAGAATTTAAATTGTTTTCAGGAATGAGAGTTTTTAGAACATATTTGTTAATTTTTTCATAAAAAACATTTACTAATCTTGAGGCGTTGCATGGGATTTTTGGTCACTCGTTTCAAAATACTATATGAAACTTTTTTTTAATGGGAAAAACAACTTTCATTGATAATAAATAAAAGAAGACTGAGAGTGAAAAATACTGTAGATCTATTAATCTTGTTACTAGTCCTTATTCTTTTGTATCATGAGTGAGATGTTATTATTTTGGGTTGAAGCTGAAGCTCCTTTCTGAGTGAGCTTTCTTTTGTTTGATTCATTTTTCTTATTTTATTTTATATTCTTTAATTTCTCTCACTGAAAGCTAGGTTTCTCATTAAAGAAAAAAAATTTGTTACTAGCCTTTATAAGATAATCTCCAAGATGTTGGCGAAAAGAATGAAAAAGTTGCTTGCTTTTGTGGCAGATAGACACAATCCTAGATCAGGTCTTAATAGTAAACGAAGCTTTTTGGAAGAATATAAGAAGAAGGAAGGCGTTGAGATAGATTTTGGAAAAAGGTTACAATCATATGGGAACTGGGTGATCATGGATAAGATTCTTTGGAAAATAGATTTGCCTTTAAATGGAGAACTTGGGTGGAAAATGTCATCATTTAACCAACTTTTCTGCTAGTTCCCCTTTGGTTTCTACAACGGATGATAGTGTAGAGTTCGACTCTGGGAGAACCGTTGGATTTGTACAATGTTCCCTCCGGTTGCTCTCAAAAACCTTCTAGTTTCCGATGTCTGTTTTTCCTACTTTGAAAATAACTTTCCATTTATAATTGAAAAGCTGCAAACTTGTAAGAATAAACTCTCCATTTTACAAATTCTCCCGTCTCCTGGCTTGAAAAAGCACCTCTTAATGAAAATAAGAGGGAGAGGTTCTTTCTTGACCTTCACAAACCTGACAATTATTGCTACTTGAAATGTTTATCAAATGGGTCATCGTTGATTTAAATTGATGTGGTTTCATCTAAAGGCGTTTGTTTTCCTTCTTAGGTGGGAAGCTTCCCGTATTCCAAACGTGACGGTGGCAAAGGTTGATACAAGTAATTTGAAGAAAGAGCAAAGTGTCTATATGCCAGTGATTCCTGCAATTGCCGACTGCCCTCAGCATTTACTGCCTTCAAAACAGTGGGAGGATGCATTTCTTGCTGATTTTTCTCAGCTGCGACAGGTACTTGCATTCACCCTAAATCTAACTCAACATTTTAAGAGAAAAGGCACATGAATGCCTATTTATTTTCATTTTTCTTCATCCCATGCTGCACAATACTATATTTTTTCAATTCTTCGCGCTTAAGTTCTTGGTCTTGGCCTTGATGGTTGGTTTTCTCTGAATGTGCTTTTATTTTAATCTATTTCCAAGGTTCCTTTTTTTGGTTTAACTATAGTTGGTCTCAAACTTGTACCAATTTTTAGTTGTCAAAGAATAGGCGATCATTCGAATAACGTACAAACTTATACCCACCACGAAAATCTCAAATTTAGTCGTCAAACTTTCATCTGTTTTTTATTATTCCCTGAAAAGGTGATGATTTGAATTACGTGCAAACAAAAAATGAAGATACATCAAGGTTTACATCTTGGTTGCTATAGTTTAGATATGACATCCAAGATTAAGACTAAATGTATAATTGAATGAAAATCCAAAGATGAAAGTTGAGACTTTTGAAGCCAAAGGACCAAGTAGAAAGTAGCTAAACATTTAAGGATTGAAATCAAACATTCCATAGTTATAGACTAAAATGGAAAGTTGTTAGGAGAACATTAGAAATAAGTTCTCTTTAGAGTGTTCTCTTAGTGGAAATGGTTTTCTTTATGATGCTAATTGTGCTGCTAATATGAAATTTTTGGACCATATTCCATTGCCATACCAGGCTCTGTCTCAATCTGAGGGATTTATACAGTCTGATTTCATCCTCCATGAAAAGATCGATTTGATAAGCCCGAACTTGATTGATCAGCCGAGTGTCTTGCCTGCCAACAACATCGACTCCCAGCAACCTGAGAAACCAATTGCTAACACCATAGCAAAGGAAAGCAATTGCATGGACCATCCATCTGTATCGGCAATCTCGAAGATGAGCTCTGTGTTTCGTGTTTCGTCGTTGAGGAAACGTATAAACTTGGTAGAAACACACACAACACTCTCGAGGGCTGATTGTGCTTGGCTGTTTGCTTTAAGTGCAGCAATTGATACTCCTCTGGATGCAGATACTTGTGCTGCTTTCAGGAGCCTGCTTCGGAAATGTGCTAGCTTGCGGGCCGAGAAGACCGAGCTCGATGACGAGGTGATAATGCTCAACATTCTTGCCGCCATTTCTGGAAGGTACTTTGGACAGTCGGAAAATTGAAGCTATGGTGGGATGACTAATGCCTCATCTTTTTCTCCAGAGTTAAAATAGTCTTTGCTAGGAGGATGGCGATCTTCACTTCTGAATATGAAACCTTGTTTGGAGACTGGTTGACAACATAACTTGTACATTATTTACTTTTTTTTTGTGAAAAATCAAAGTGTGTTAATGATTTTTTTGGATTACGTAATCAATCTATATTTGATGATTAAGTGGAAGGCTTAGCTTGTTAAATAAGGGATTTTTTGGGTTGAATTTTACTGTTTGGCTCCTTAATTTTAGAAAATTGAATGACTGTTAAAAATGTGTTTAAATGGTTTTTAGTGTATTAAAAAAATGCTTGGGAAAAATATATTTTTGGTTCTAGTTATCTATTTGGTCAATAAGATTTGAAAGAGTATCCATTTGGTCCATTTTTGATCTTTAATATTTAAAAAATTGTTCTAAATGATCCCTCAATTTCTTTGACCGCATTAGTCGATTGTTAATGATTATCTCTTTCCAATCTCTTCTCTCTCCTTCAAATTCTCTCCCATCTCTCGCAAAATTCTATTGAAAGATTGATCTTCTCGCGGTCCATAAGCCATCTTCCATTCAAAGAAACATACGCTTTCTTGATTGAAAGATTGAGATCAGTGAGGACCTGTACGGCTTCTTAAGAGATTTCCAATCTTGTAGCACCATCAACACCTGAATCAAACACAGGCAAAAAGGGAAGTTTCAGTCACTGAATCAAACAAAGTTTCAGAAGAAGAGAGTGTTGTAATGGAGATCTTACCTTAACTAGAGTGGCTGTAGAGCAGGCCCCATTTTTGAGCAGAACCCACTAACCACTTCAAGGACCATCTAGAACAATTTATCAAATTTTAGGGATAAAAAATGTCCATTTGGATCAAATAAACACTTGTTGACTTTTTCAAAAAAAATAAAAATAAATAAAACTTGTTGTAAATCTCAGGATAAAAAATATTCATTTTAAAACCTTAGGGACTAAACACCTAGGGACAAAAAAGTGTATTTTTCCCAAAATGTTTTTAGTTATTTTTATTTTTATTTTGTAATAACTAGCTAAAATACTTGTCGTATTTGTAAATATGAAATAATTTTTGGATTGGACAAATACGACCAAATATTTGAAATTTGATTTTTTAATTATTTTATTTTATCCTTCTAGATTTTTAGATGCATCGAAAATTATATATATTAAGCATACCATATTAAGTATATAACGTATTCATATCAGATAAGTATTATTAATTTCTTCACTAATATAATAAACTAGATATATAAATGCTATATCAACTTTAATTCACATTAGACAGAGAAGAAATGTATTTCATCTAAAATATGTAAATAACACAACACACTTCAATTAGAGAAACTGAAACTGAATACAGTAAACAAGTAATACATTAGGTTTCTTATTGGTATACAAGTATTCGTTTAAGTTATATTATTTATCGATGACATATCTTATTATCTTGTACATTTTTCATTTACTTTGTCGAATCATCTTCCTCTTGAATGTAACAGAACTATTGATTTACTCACAAAATTTGGTACCCTTCACGCTACCCGTTCTTTTGGTATCCTCCGTATCCTTCATGGCTTTTGTTCTCATTTTTCATATATATAAGTACAATAAATAAGATAGGATAAATGGATAGAAAATTACTGACTCCTAGACTTATTGGCAGGGGACATATGTCAATTAAGTTTATGTTATATATATATATTCATCAAAATATTTTTAAAATTTAAATTAGGATATCAATATCAACATTAATATTTTAATCCTAAATATTAATTAAAATAATGTTTTTATTTAAACTTATTATTAAAATAATGTTACATTAAATAAAATTAAAGAAAAAATGTTTTTTTGAAACTTATGTCTCTGGAAATATTCCGCTACTTGGTCATCTCTTGAAGAGATGATCATGTCATTTTCAGCAATTGGTTGTCTCTTGAAGAGACGACCATAGAACGTGGTGCTCTATTGGCGCCACATCTAATTTTTTAAAAAATTAAGATATGGTTGTCTCCTGAAAATACGACCTATTGTTGAAAATGGTATGATCGACGACCAAGTGGCAAAATACTTTCAAAAGCATTATTTATAGAATAAGCATTTTTTCTTTAATTATATTTAATGCTGCATTATTTTAATAATAAGTTTAAATAAAAACATTATTTTAAAAAAATCCCTATACAACAAGGTATACCATTTTATATAATATCAGAATCTAACAAACGTCACAACGAGCATAACTCTACCATTTTATATAGTATTAAAACTTAACAAACTTCAATATAACTCAATGTTAATTGGCATATGTCTCTAAAAGAAAATGTGATCTAATGGGTTCTCCAATATATTTTACTAAAAAAAGGAAAAAAAAAATAATAGACGTCATACCAAACTTTCCACTATCTGAAGCGTACTATAATAGACGTCCCACCAAGTATTATCGAGTCTGAAAGTCATTATTGCGCGTGCCTTGTCAATGTCAAATTAAAAGAAAGGACAACCTGTGGTTTGACGATTCTTATTCCCACAATTTATCTTACAAATTTGATCATTCTTTCTGATCATTTTGATTGTAATTCTGTGGCAAAGTTTAGAGCAGAAAACAGAGATGGCTGAATTCCTATGACTTTCGCTGTACAGGAAGCATTGAAGAAGATTCTGAAAGTTGCAGCTCAACAAATTGGTTTGGCATGGGGCTTGGAGGAACAGCTTTCCAACTTGACCAAGTGGCTACTCAAGGCTGAAACCATTTTAGCCGATATTAATAGAAAAAAATCACACTCCGATTCTGTGAAGTTGTGGGTGAAAGATCTCCAAGATTTTGTGTATGAAGCTGATGATTTGCTGGACGAGCTTGTTTATGAAAATCTTCGACGAAAGGTGGAAATCGGAACAAGGAACAAGGTACGTGATTCTATTTCAAAATCCTATTTTTTGTTTCGTCTCAAGATGGCCAAGAAAATGAAAGACATTACTGAAACTTTGTATAAACATTATTGTGAGGCAATTCCTTTGGGACTAGTTGGTCACGAATCCACAGAGACAAATCAGATTGTTCTAAGCCAAATTCGAGAGACAACCTCGAATCTTAATTTCGAAGTTGTGGGGAGGGAAACTGAAGTTTCAAGCATAGTGAAACTGGTTATTGACTCTAGCAATGAACATCGTATGTCCATTATACCCATAGTGGGTATGGGTGGACTTGGAAAAACAACTTTGGCACAGACGATCTTCAATCATGAGGCAATTAGAGGACATTTTGATAACACTATTTGGGTACGCGTATCTGAACCATTTATTGTCATAAACATTTTGGAAGAGATCTTTCAAAGTCTGACGAAGACTTCTAGTGGCTTGAACTATAAAGAGGCTTTATTCCAAAGGCTCCAAAAAGAAATGCAGGGTAAAAAGTATTTTCTTGTGCTTGATGATGTTTGGAATGAAGAACGTGGTTTGTGGGATGACTTAGAGGATTGTTTAAAAGAAATGACTGGAAAATCTGTAAATTGTATTATTGTCACCACAAGGAAGGAGTTTAGAAGTTGCAAACATCGTGGGGACAATTCCCAGTCATCATTTAAGAAAATTATCAGATGATCAATGTTGGTTTTTGTTTAAGGAAAGTGCAAATACGAATGGACTATCAATGACTCCAAAGTTAGAGATTATTCGAGAAATGTTGGTTAAAAAAATCGGTGGCGTACCCCTAGTTGCAAAAGTTTTAGGAGGAGCAGTAAAGTTCGAAGGAGACTACGAGAGATGGGTGACAAAAGTCGAAAATGTAGTAAGAAATATTTCAAAGGATGACAAAGATTTTGTTTTATCTATTCTGAAATTAAGTGTGGATTGTTTACCATTATTTTCATTAAAGCAATGTTTTGCTTACTTTTCAAAATTTCTCAAAGATTGTGAATTTGACAAAGAAAACTTAATTCGAATGTGGATAGCACAAGGGTTTATTCAACCACAAGATCAAGAGGGAGATAATGAAATGACGGAGGAGGATATAGGAGAATGACACTTTAACTTCTTGTTATCTCGCTTCTTATTTCAAGATGTTGTTGTGGATATGAATGTGAGAGTTACTCATTTTAAAATTCATGATATGATACATGATATCGCGTGTGCTATTTCAAATCATCAAAATTTGTTGCACGAATTAGGTTCTACTAACTCGAGTAGAAAAAGTGCAAGAAAGTTGCGCACGCTGATATGCAATAATCAAGTCGTTCATAATGAGCGGGTGGCCGATTGTGTTTCTTTGCGTGTTTTAGTCTTCCGTATCTCGAAATTTATGGGGACTAGTAACTTTTTAGATTCAATTGGTAAGTTGAAACATTTGAGATACCTCGATATATCAAATAATTTTTTCATAAGGGTGTTGCCAGACTCTATTACTATGCTTTACAATTTACAGACACTAAAAGTTGGATATCACCAAAATCTTCCAAAGAACTTGAGAAAAATGGTTAGTCTAAGGCATTTAGAAATTTTCCCCAATATCCGAAATCACAGGCAAATGCCCTCACACATGAGCAAGTTGATTCATCTTCAAACACTATCACAGTTTGTAGCAGGGTTTGAAAATGGTTGTAAAATTGAAGAACTTGGACCACTGAAAAATCTCAGAGGTATATTACAGCTTTCATGTCTCGAGCGAGTAGAAAGTAAAGAGGAAGCAGTAGCTGCAAAATTGGTTGAAAAGAAGAATTTACATGAGCTGATCTTGGAGTGGAGTTCGGATTTTGAAGGAAACGACGGTAATGAGTTGGAAGTATTGGAAGGGCTTCAACCACACCAAAATCTTCAATCATTGACTATTACAGAATATAGAGGCCAGGTTTTGGGTGATGCTATCTTTGTTGAAAATTTGGCTATGATACATCTGCGTGAATGTCGAAACTGTGAGAGACTTCCAATGCTTGGACAATTACCAAACTTGGTGGAACTTTACATTGATTCTATGAACAGTTTGAGATGCATGGGAAGTGAGTTTTATGGAAATGGCTCCAACAACCAAGGACATTCATTTTCAAAGTTGAGGAAGCTTTGGTTCATTGGGTTGCCCAATTTAGAACAGTGGGAAGACGCAACAGTGGTATCAAATAGCTTTGGATCTCTTCAAACTCTATTTGTTTCTGGATGTGGAAAATTGAAAAAACTGCCAAATGGGCTACAATGTTGCAGTTCCCTTCATGATTTGACAGTAGCCGATTGTCCCAAATTGAGCTTAAATGTGCAAAATATGCATAATTTGTCAAGTTTGAGAATACATGGATTGAAGAAGTTGCCATTGGGGTTAGGCCACCTCACTAACTTGAAAGAAATGAAATTTGTTGGGTGCATGCAAGATTACGACTTTACTCCTTTCGTAAGCCTACAGTCTCTGATCATAAAGCTTGAGTTGAGAGATGAGTGCTCAGGAAATTGCACACAACTTCCTCCACATTTGCAACACCTCACTGCCTTGAAACAATTATCCATTGGAAATTTTGGGGGCATTGAAGTTCCACCAGAATGGTTGAACAACCTTACGTCTTTGGAAATGTTGAGTTTTGAAGGTTGCGGGAATTTGAGACGTCTGGCTTCAACAGAAGCCATACGACGCCTCACAAATTGGAGCATCTGAGTGCTATTAAATGTCCACTGTTACATGGCGGATGCAATCTGATACTGGGTGTTCAACATTTATCTCTTTGCCGTACTCAACCCTCTGCAATGTTGGTAGCTCAACTCCCTTGGGTGAATCAAGACGACGGATTGACCAGAGAAGATGAAAAGGATGGGTAAACTACGATACAAATTTATTGGCATACAAAAGTAATCTCTATAGACTTTCTTCTATCCATGAATATTTGGCACTTTTCTGAAAAAATATATCAATTTTAATCTTTGGTGTATCAATTTTTATGAAAAGTATATGAATATAAAATATATATTTTATGTGAAATTGAAATTGATAATATTCTGACAAAAATGTGTTTTTTTTCATGGTTGAAATTTGTATGTTTTAGTGGACTTATTTGATTTAAAGCTTTATTTTCATTATATTAATAAGTTTTTTACATTATTTTATTGTAATTAAAATTAATGAATGAATTAGAGTAAAAATTGCAACATGGCCTATTTAAATTACAAACTAGTTTCACGAAATTGAAACTTTGAGTACGGTTGGATGAAATTGAAAGTTTGTATGTTTTAGTGGACTTATTTGATTTAAAGCTTTATTTTCATTATATTAATAAGTTTTTTACATTATTTTATTGTAATTAAAATTAATGAATGAATTAGAGTAAAAATTGCAACACGGCCTATTTAAATTACAAACTAGTTTCACGAAATTGAAACTTTGAGTACGGTTGGATGAAATTGAAAGTTTATGGGAAAGATTGACACAATTTGCAAAGTTTGATTCGATAGTATGTATAGTAAATCTTATTCTCCAGTAGATCGTCAATTTAAACTTACCAAAAAGTGGGTCCAACCAGTAGGGAAGCTTTGGAGTATTTATTTTGTTATTAATGTTGATGCAGGAATTTCGGTCCGGTTTCCAAGGTCAATAGATCACAAACTCTTGCACATAGAGATCATTTTGGTTAAGCTTCATCTCTATTAATCTGGAAGTATGAAAAGAAATGATTAGGTTCTTTTTCGTCCTTCCTTCATTTCACCATTAATGGAACTTCCACGAACCTGATGATTGTATTGGAAATTAAACATATATCTTCCTAGGTACATGACACATATACATGAATTTGTATTTAATTAAATACATTCATGTATTTAGTTTTTTAAGATGAATTATTTATGTTCATGTATGTATGGATTCATGGAATGAGATTTATTTTATGGATCTAGATCTTTCCGTAGAATCCTATAAATATGATGATCTCTTGTTGTATTTCATCAAGTGTGTGGAGAAGAAAAACAAGAGAGTTTGATAGAGTTTGTACCAAGTGTGTATTTTGTGAGAAATTTCAATACAAGTGAAGTTGTTTATTCTCAAACGAGTCTTGTTGATTCTAAATTAGCAAAGGTCCATCACACGATTCCAACAAAGTGGTATCAGAGCTTGAGTTTGAAAAGAGTTGTTTTTTGCAAATGGCAAACAACAATTTGGTTCATTTCCAAGTGCTGCGTCTTACCAAAGAAAATTATAGCAATTGGTGTATTCGTATGAAGGCTTTACTTAATTCACAAGATGCATGAGAGATTGTTGATAGAGGCTATGAAGAACCAGTAGAGGATGTGGTTTTGAATCAAGCTCAACGATAGACTTTGCAAAATACCAAAAAGAAAAACCAAAAGGCTCACCATTATTCATCAAGCCATTGATGATAAAAATTTTGAGAAGATTTATGGAGCAACCACCGCAATGCAAGCATGACAAATTTTGGAGAATACTTATAAAGGAGTTGATCGAGTCAAAAGGTCCGACTTCAAAAATTGAGAGGTGATTATGAAGCATTAGATATGAACGAGTCTGAATCAATTTCAGATTACACTTCAAGGTTGCTAGCCGTAGTAAATGAAATGAAGAGGTATGATGAGACGATAAATGATGAGCAAGTAATTGAAAAGATACTTCGCTCATTGGATGAAAAATTTAATTTCATCGTTGTAGCAATCGAAGAATCAAAGGATTTGAGTACAATGTCCTTTGATGAACTTATCGGTACTTTGCAAGCCCATGAAGAGAAGCTTTTCAAGAAGAGCAAATAGACAACTGAACAACTCTTTCAATCAAAGTTACAGTTGAAAGATAAAGAAGATAGCCAAGAAAGAGGTTATCGAGGTCAAGATTGTGGTAGAAGTCGTGGACATGGTGACATTAGATGTCGTGGTCGAGGAAACTTTGGTCAAAGAAAGTTTGATGAAAGTAATTTCAACTCAAATTCATCAAGAGGTCGTGGTAGACAAAATTATTTAAGGTCGTAGCCAAACCGAGCATAGCTCAAATGGTTAAGGCACCAATCTCTGACTAGAAGGTCATGAGTTCAAACCCCCACCTCCACAATGTTGTACTAAAAAAAAATTATTTAAGGTCGTATGGAGGAAGATCTAATGATGACAGGAGATATGACAAAAGTCGAGTAAATTCGGTCATTATTCATGTGAGAACACTTTGTGTAAAGTCCAAATGACGAAAAATAGAATGTTTCCATTAAACATTCAAACTTAAGATTTGGGCATTTGAATTTTGATGATTTAAGATTATTAGCCAGGAAGAGCATGGTAAAAGGATTGCCATATGTCAAACATCCAGATCAACTTTGTGAAAGATGTTTGCATGGTAAACAATCAAGGAAGAGTTTTCCAACAGAATCTTATTCGAGAGCGAAGAGACTGCTAGAGCTTGTTCACACTGATCTTTGTGGACCTATCAAGCTAAGTTCTTTCGGTAAGAATAATTATTTTTTATTATTCATTGATGATTTCAGTCGAAAAACTGGGTTTATTTTGTCAAGGAGAAATCAGAAGTATTTAGCATGTTCAAGAGATTCAAAGCTCTTGTCGAAAAAGAAAGTGGTCTTTATATAAAAGCCTTGAGATCTGACAGCGGAGGATAATTCACTTCAAATGAATTCAAAGATTTTTGTGCAGAAAATGGAATTCGTCGGCCTATGACAATTCCATGGACTCCACGACAAAATGATGTTGTCGAGAGGAAGAATAAAACTATACTTAACATGGCTCAAACCACGTTGAAGAGTAAGAAGATGCCATAAGAGTATTGGACACAAGCTGTTGAATGTGCTGTTTATTTGTCAAATCGTTCTCCCACTAGAAGTGTATGGAATAAAACTCCACAAGAAGCATGGACCGGAAGAAAGCCATCTATTTTTCATTTGAGAGTTTTTGGGAGTATTGCCTATGCCCGTAAACCAGATCAGAAGTGCAGTAAGCTCGATGATAAAAGTGAGAAACATATTTTTGTTGGCTACGATGCAAGCTCCAAAGGCTACAAGTTTTATAATCCGGCTACAGAGAAGATGGTGGTAAGCAGAGATGTCATGTTTGATGAAGAAGCTGCATGGAATTGGAGTGATAAACCAAAAGACTACAAGTATCTATTTTTCTAGAAGATAGTGATGAACCTGGTGATATTGCTTCTCCATCAACGCCACCTCCATCACCGGTCACACCAGTACATGCCGCACCTTCATCATCAACATCAAGTTCGAGTGAAGGGGACTCATCGCATGAGAAGTTTACGGGACATCTATGATGAAACTAAAGAGTTAAGTGAAAACAACTTTAATGGTCTAACTCTATTTTGTTTATTTGGTGACAGTGAACCTTTAAACTTTGAAGAAGCTGTACAAGATAAAAAGTGGAAGATTGCAATGGATGACGAGATAAATGCTATAAAGAAGAACGACACATGGAAGCTTTCTACTCTTCCAAGTGGAAAGATAGCAGTAGGTGTCAAATGGGTGTACAAGACAAAAGAGAAACGAAAGAGGAGAAGTGGAAAGACATAAAGTGAGATTAGTTGCGAAAGGCTACTCTTAGAGAAAAGACGTTGATTACGATGAAATATTTGCTACTGTTGCTCTTTTGGAGACCATAAGATTGATGATTGCACTTAGTGCTCAAAATAGATGGAAGATTTTTCATATGGATGTCAAATCGACATTTCTAAATGGATATCTTGAAGAAGTATATTTAGAATAACCTTTTGGTTATGTGGTGAAAGGACAAGAGAATAAAGTTCTAAAGTTGAAGAAGACACTGTATGGGTTGAAACAGGCTCCAAGGATGTGTAATAGCAGAATTGATCACAAATATTTCCATGACAATGGGTATTTAAGATGCCCACATGAACATTCTCTTTATATAAAGACTAACGATCATGGAGATATTTTGTTAGTTTGTCTGTATGTTGATGACTTGATTTTTACAAGAAATTGTCCAAACATGTTTGACGAATTTTAGAAGGCAATGATCCAAAAATTGGAGATGACAGACATTGACCTTATGTTATATTATCTTGGCATTGAGGTGAATCAATCAGAGGAAGGAATTTTTATCTCTCAAGAACGATACACTAGAGAAATTCTTGAGAAATTCAAGATATTCAATTCGAAACCAGTTGCTACTTCAATCGAAACTGAATGAAATTGTCAAAATATGAAGATGGAGATGTTGTTGATCCTTCATATTTTAAAAGTTTAATTGGGAGCTTGAGATATCTGACATGCACAAGGCCTGATATTCTTTTCACTGTTGGATTGGTGAGTCGGTTAATGGAATCTCCTACAACTACTCATTTGAAAGTAGCGAAGAGAATTCTTCGTTATCTCAAAGGTACGCTGGATTATGGATTATTTTATTCAACATCTGGAGAATTCAAACTTGAAGGTTATTGTGATAGTGATTGGGCTGGAGATCTCAATGATCGAAAAAGCACAAGTGGATTTGTGTTCTTTATCGGCAATACTACTTTTACATAGAGTTCTAAAAAACAAGCTATTGTGACACTATCTACTTGTGAGGCTGAATATGTCGCTGCATCATCATGTGTGTTTCATGTAGTTTGGTTGAGAAATTGGTTGAAGGCAATTGGAATTGTCCAAGAAGATGCAATTGTAGTTCATGTGGACAACAAGTCTGCAATTGCTCTAG